CGCCGGTAACCGAAGGGTAGTTCTACGCGCAGTGTGATTGTATGTTTGTAATTCATAAATATCTAAGCTTTGCTACGTAATTCATATAACTATTTAGCGGACCGTGCGCAAAATGAATATTACTCCGGGGTCAAATATTGGCGCGGATAATAAACGGGGATGGGAGGATGGAGAGGATTAATAATATATACGCGCTTGCGTACGCGCGAGCGCGAATGCGAGCGAGCAGAGCGATGACGAGGGCGGGGAGAGAGGGGGCACGATTTTCCCCGAAATCAGCCAAACGAAGAAAACAATAGCGCCGAGAGCACAAAGCCTTTATCGAGCATCGAGCGAATTAAATCCTAAATTATTCGCGGGCAAGGAGAATACCGGGATTCCGTCATAAAGCGCTGTTTGTTTCCACCGCGCGGTGGAATTCGTTTCGCGTTTGCTCTCGTTCGCGCGAAATGTCGGCAAAGAAAAGCGGCCGCCGTTTCTGATTATACGCGCCGTATCAAATGTTACGCATCTGTACGATTTGCGATTCTGCAATTTTCAACGGTCTCGCTTAAGCTTCGCGATACTCATAATTAAAGCTACTAATTAAAACCAGTGCGTGCGATTTCCCTTACACAAAAGCTTGAATAATTCCCATAAAGCTTGAATAAATCAGTTTATTTCATATTATTAGGCTGATGATCGAAATTGTTAGATGAGAAAAAACACTCGAAATATTCGACGTGGATGTCTATGTTTGTCGGCGTAATCATAAAACCAAACGAGGCGAAACTACATCTACGCGGATAGCAGGACCGTCGAGCGCAGCTACAAAACGCGAAATGAAGACTTGCGGCGCGAAGTTTACTCTCACGCGCGCATCGTGTTTACTTCCGCGTCCGTGAAAATCCATGAGACGCGCGTCTCGTATAAAATCCTTATGGAATTATCCTCCCGCCTTTTCCTTTCTTTCCTCCTTTGTTCTTCTTTTGTAATTTATATCGTCGGACCCGAGCGCGCGGCGCTTAACGACGCTATTCCGAGGTGTTGGGAGCTGAAATCTCCTTTATTGCGCAAGAAATCGCGTAAATGTCCCCGTTCGCGTTGCCTTAATCCTCGCTTTCGATCGTTTAATTATTTAATCACTTAACTGCAACTTGACTCCTAAGGAATCGAGAATTAAAAATACCATTATCCAATTTATCATCGCCGTGCGCGAGAAGTTGGGATGATTTCTATGTCGTTGGTCGACTCGCGGTAATTGCATTATTAATGCGGCTGTATGAACAATGATATCATGTGGTCCACGTTAACGTACTGTTCCGTGAAACCGCGTTTAATTAACGGTAGCTATCCAATTGCCGAGTAATTTTATCTAACTCACTGGCATTGCTTAAATCGTTGCATTTTCATGCAATAACTGTCAGCTTGATTTTCAAATTAGAAAATTTCTATCTCAAACAAATACATTTCATAATTTATTTGCATTAAAGTATTTTTCATCTTTTGTTTTCTCTTCAGAGAAAAAAATGGTAAAAATTTGACCAAATCCATCTGAAAATAATTTTGTTAAACCTTCAAAATAACGTAGAACGTTCACATTGATTGTTAAAAATTTTTGCAATATTATCATGTTTAAATGCCCTACATAATCATTTTACAAAATTATTTTCAGATCTGTATTTGATCTAAATTAAAACGTTGATTGTTAAAAATTTTTGCAATATTATCATGTTTAAATGCCCTACATAATCATTTTATAAAATTATTTTCAAATCTGTATTTGATCTAAATTAAAACAAAAAAAGATTTTAATAAAATCATCTTTCCATGTTTTTAAAAATAATAAATAATGATAATTTAATTCTTGCATAATTCTATCTAATTCACTTGTTAAATATTTATCGCTATTACGTTCTCCTGCAATAGCCGATTCTCGTGATCAAAAAACTACATTTGAAAACTTCGCACAATAAATAAAAAGTGAGTTTCACAATTCACTTGGGCATGGTATTTTTTAATTATTTAGCATTTCTCTTAGTTTCTTCTTAATGTACTATCTCGCGATATTCATTACTTTCTCTGATTACTTCTAGAAGTATTATCTCAGAGAACGCTACATAAACCTCCCTTTTTGTCTCTCTTTCTCTCTTTATCTCCTTCTCTATCTCTGCAGTGGTACAAAATATAATACCGGGGAGAGAGATCGGCGAGGTGGAGATGCAGCTCGTACTCTTAGATCTCAGCTCGTGCAACTTTAAAGTAGTTTGTGTCTAGGCCGGGGTGTGCATAAAGGCTCCATACACTGTGTATATGCGGGCGCCATAAACGTTCCCCGGTTATATCGGGTGTGCTCGTTTATTTACGGGCTTATATGTATACATATACATCCACGGGAGGGAACGGGGCGCCGTTTCCAGCCTGGTTCTCCCAGCTTTTCGCTTTCCGGCTGCGGCCCGCGTGCGGATCACGCGCATCGTTCGAGAGAGAGACTCGCGTGAACGCGATTTATCGGCATCCGCGGTCTCGCGAACCGCGCGCCACGTATGCCGTGATCGATCGAACGCTTACCCCGCATATGCATATGTGTTCCGGTGACTCGTAAATGCGAAACTTCTCGTAATAAGAGGCATGATCCGCCACGCTGCCTCTTATTCAACGATGGCGGGATTTAAAACGATAACCGCATTAGTCTCGAAATTGATAATGGTTATCGTAGCGATTTTTCAGGTAAGGTAATATTTATCGAAATATATAATATAATGATCGGAATCTTATTTCATCAAGCGAGAGCATGTCTTATGAGTGCAAACTAATATCGCATGAGTTGACTAACAATTGAGATTCATTTTGCACATAATAACTGATTATCAAATTTATCTTCATAAGACATTCTCATAATTCTTCAATAATTTTGATTAGCTTGAAGCTTTTTATAATATTACGATGCGAAATGCTTGGTTTCTTCCATGTTACTTCCATGTTACTTTAACTTCTGGATTTAATGTTTTCGAGCGAGATCCTTCCGCGAAAAGTTTACGGCTAAATCATTCCTCGTTAAATATCGTCACAGCTCGTAGCTCGCTCGTTGGGATTTCCGCGCGATTATGTCAGGCATAAAAATGTGAGAATTATTTTGCGATAAAGATTGGTTCTCTCTCTCTCTTTCTCTCTCTCTC